GATGGGTATATGTACATATTTGTTGGCTGGTGCAGCTACTTGTGGTCAGAAGCCATGTCGGCGGATGCATTCGGTCGATTCGAAGAAGCGACCACCCCAGAAGAATGGCAGGCTGTGGGCCGCGACTCGCTCCTGGCGATGCTAGGAAGTGCCCATCCATTGGACGCGTTCAAGAGGTTCCGACGGCGACCGCCCAACATGGACGCGTTGCTGCGCAGTTATGGCCTGGATTAACTTGAACGACGTTAATTTGAGTTGTTGTGTTTGGCAATCGTGTCGATACAAAACTGTGTCCGTTGGAGGCCAACGATTCGTGCAGCCCTTCATCGAGTCTGTAACAACTAGTGTACCAGTACTGTATTGATATGGACATGGGTGAATATGATCACTTTGCGGACACGTTCGGACAATTTCAGTCGGACATACTTGGCATTTGTATTGGACTTAAGGGGAACATATTTTGTCCGAATGAAAGTGTCCAAACGGAACATATTCCGTTCGGACACTTTATACTTGTGTATTGTATTAACCCGCATAAGAACGATCAGCTTTACAGTTGCGAGCGACGACAGAGCATCCGCCCACAAAATTGCGCACACCGCAGCGTAGCGGAGGTCGTGTGTATAATTTTGTGCAGGCGGTGCCTTGGCGAGGAGTGAGCCCCAATCGTGCACTTCACCGAATGTCCAATCGATTCCTCTTGTCGGGAAAAGCGGCAGGTAGGCCGCAGGCCGTGCCGCTACCCGGACAAGGCCTGTGGTACAACTATTCGCATTTAATGCGTAAATTCGGTTAAGTGCGTGTCCGAAGCACATATCCAGCAAATATTTGTCCGAGTCGTTATGGTATGGTACCCTAGCATCGTCCAGATAAACGTGGCGCCATAAAGGTTCATTCCGAGCAGCAACTCCACCGCCGCGCTGTATACTGTACAAGATCGGGTATGTCACTCAACCACTGTCCGTAGCTGCGTCCGATCATATATCATTGAAACCCCCTAATATTACCGATGCGTGATAATTCAATCAACGATAGATTTGGCTTGCAATTTCGTCACCTCCATATATGTAGGCGTACCATTGAGGATGCCCAAATAAGAGCATTTCCATCGGCACCTCCAAATGGCTGGTTATTTTTGGGACCAACCAGAAATAACCAAAATATGAAAATATTCGTCTCCACACACCATTTACTCCAGTCACCGAAAGACAAAATACAGGAGCCAATCATTGACTACTATTGCAAATATTTTCACCAATCAATTGCAACCATGGATATCTCGTTTTTGTTAACGTTACTGTAGATGCTCTCAGAAGCACCGTTGGTTCGAGCAAATGCAGCGCAATTGAGATCGAAGTTGCCTCCTTTGACTACCCTACTGGCTGGGCTGAGCGACACTACTCGTGAGCATTTTTTGTACCTTTCGAAGTCAACAAGTGGGCAAAGTGACCCTCCGTGCAGCTTGAAATTCGCAGTTTCGTCCTCATCAACGTGAACTCTAGTCAGCATCACTATGCACCACTAGTAGTACGTCGGTATTACTTGAGGGTAGGGTCCAATTTGTTGTCGTCGTTACTTCCATCAACCGAGTCACCATAACCGGACGAGCCTGTTATGCGAATTATTTGCCGTTGTCACCATAAAAAAGTAAAATAAAATTACGGCAAACGTCAAAATACAGTCTTATTATACAGTACCATCGTACCATTGGGAGTATCCCCAACGGTACTTTACAGACTGTTAACTCGATATACAATCATAACGGGGCCAATCCCATGCAATTGGCCAATCCGACGCTGAGCGTGGCCCCAAGGACGATGCCGAGGTTGATGAAAAACGCAGATGCGACCCCCGTGGCGCCTTTCTCTGAGTCGTCGACGCAATCACTGACTACAACCACGGCCAGTGTGCAGGCGAACCCCCCCGAGAGCCCCAAGAGCGTCACAAACAGCACCGAAACCCCGTCGTGGGTAAAACTGTGGCCGGTAGCCGCGCACACCATCAACGGCACGAGGGCGAATCGCGGCAGCACCACCTTCCACACTGTGAAGCGCGTGATGCCAAGACGGCACTTGGATGCTGCGAACCGACCGACCACGTCACTCAGGGCAAACAGAGCCATGAGAAGAAGCGGCCACCACCCGTTGGCATTCAAGGAGGGAAAGTTGTAGCTCGGGATGTTGGACACGACGCCCGGCCACAGCAGCAACGAGCACAGATACGACAGCGCCAAGAGCACTTCGTTGAGCAGAATTTTCGTCCAGAGCGACCGCTGGAAGGATTGCTGCTGCTGGGGGGCGGTCTTGAGGGTCTCGCGTGCGATGGCTAGCCGTTTCAACATCAAGTAGGCCACGACGCCACCGACGACGGTGAGGGCACCGACGCCAAAGTACATCATGGACGACTCGACCACAAGATGCGATGGGAACATGGCTTTGGTGACGAGGCGGTAGGTGGCGGTGATGAGGTTGGAAAAGCCGATGCCGAGTTGGACGTTTTCCAGAGCTCCCTTGGGGAAGAGGGAGGCCAGTGAAAAGACGGCGCTGTCTAGGAACGAGCTGGCAATGGCTAGCACACCTGTGCTGGTGAGGACCATTACAAGGTGTTGGGATTCGCCAGAAAGGAAATAGTACGACAACGGCACAAGGATGAGCACCACGACTTGGACGGCAAAACCGCCCACAATCTGCAAGGAATACTGCGGGGTTCGACTTCGCCATAAAATCACAACGAACGTGAGGATATTGGCGACATTGTAGACGCAGGAGAGGGCAAAGACGAGGTTGAAGTTGGGAAAAAGGGTCGTCCAGTAGTCGACTGGCTGCATCATGGCGCAGTAGGGGAAGATGTAGCCAAAGCCCATGACAAGGAACAGCTTGGACGCCACGCGCATGTTGACCGACGTCAACGTCGCATGAGATGGCAAGACCGACGGCGACAGCAATTGCACCACGTTGGCACTTGGACGAACCATTTTGTAAAATGTGCAAAGGTGCAACCAACTCCGAGGCAGTTGTGTCCGTTGCGTTGCGGTGTCCAATAATGCATCGAACGTGTTAAAAGAGTTGAGACACCTCGAAGCGTACTCATATTCCTTCTTCACAATACCGTTTCTGGTGATAAAAGTCGGGAGAAGTCAAGTTAAAGGCCGGGAATTACCCTTGAGAACGTATGGCTCTAACGTTATGTTTTTGCTTGACCTAAAGACACGAGGACATGAACACTCACTTCGCCAGGGTACAGACAGTACTCGTACGTATTCTGTCTGGCCCCAATATTCTGTTAACGATGAATATGATCAATATTCCGACCTTAGAGCATCCCCACCGGCTGATGTAAACATAGAGCTGAAAAGACCCGTTTATTGGGTGCGTGCTGTAACAGTAGTACATCACTTCACAGCCAATCCACACCGGTTGGCGGAAATAGTAGTCCTGATGGCGCAAATTCGTGTTGGACGCCCGCTGGCGATTGAGGTTTTGGAGCTCTCGCCAGTGGAGAATCTAGTGCAGCAGGTTGGCGTACATTCTATTGTCTGTAAGATTCATATTCATGCTGCCGGCGTGCTTCAGGACATCGGGATGGCATGCTTCGTTGAAGAAGTCCATTGGGACCTCAATCGCATAGAACTGTAAATGACCCAACAGATCTGTTGAGAAATCTGTGTTTATGGAGCGTTTACATCATGATGTAAAATTTATTGGCAACCGGTGTGGGGCTGAAAAATGTAAATTTTGCTGATGTAGTGATGTACTTTGAAGATTTTTACATTTCTACATCAGCCGGTGGGGATGCTCTTACTTAGTATTTGTATGCATTAATTTTAGCCAATGAATCGCCTCACTATCTATTTCTACCTATCATATAGTAGTAGTATCTTATCCTACACCATTTTGACCAATCAAAGTCATTTAGGGGTAGGGGTAGCACAATTCTGTCGGTTCTGACGAATGGAATCTGAAATATCGATAGTTCACCAAATACGTAGTAGTTCGACATATTCTGACATTTCGGCAGTTACTCCTAATCAGGTTTGCTAAATATAGGAATGCGATAAGGAGGCCGCTGCTCGTTTCAGTTATGTTTACACGTGAGCAAGTGGCATTTCACCTTAGTTCATGCTACCCTTACCATAACTACGAAAGATTTACCCGATGGACGCAGCAGGCCTTCATTCTAGGTGTATGTGTGAACCCTTACGCTTTCACTGTACCCTTCCTACTTAGGAGTATCCAATAGAATCGTTGTTGTCGGAATGGGGTGTCGGAATGAGTATCTTGTCGGAATATTCATGCTAATAACGTTAACTGTAAGGGCATGCCACCCCATAAAATTATGTCATAAACGGTTTTGGCAAGTCTGCAAAAATTTCCCAAAGTCTCATATCCCAGGAGAAAAAGGAGGACAAAAGTATCTACAAAGTTGTCTGGATACCGCTTGAATTGTGGAAAAATTGTTCGATTTCCGATTGACACTGTGAAGTGCAATACTTCAACGTGAACGCAAACCTCCATAAAATAGTTGGACCAAATCGGTCCATTTCTTTTATGCCATAAAACACCCAAATCTCAAGAAAATTATGGCATAAAGTTTTGAACTTTGATGGCATCCAGACACACAATAAATATTTTGTAGTAGTTACGGAGTGAAAAGGAGTACTGTAGCCGTCTCGATACAGACTTGCTGTACGAACTTCGACGTAACGGTCACCGGCAGTAACCGGCACTATTGACCTATCAAAACTCTACTCGAAGTACTGCATCGTTCTGCCTATATCTACAATCCAGTTACCTCACGGAAGGAAATGCGACCCCAGCAATCGCTCGGTAGTGTACACCATACCACTTTCGACAAGGAACTTATAGTCGTCGTGAACATAAGTATTTCATGCTGTACATTTACAGTTAGCGTGACGAAACGTATCCGGATCCGGATGAAACCTCGAAGAAGATCTCTGAAGTACTCCTTCAAATTATCCGAAAAAATAAATCAAAAGGCAATCGAGGCATGGTGGCGGACCCAGAACGAGCAGAGTTTCTCAAGAAGGTGGGGGGACATTACGAACCACTGGACGACAATGTAGACGAGAAGCACCAAGCGTTTAGGCTGTTTACGGTGATCGGGTTTGCCTACCTGTTCTCATGCTTCGCCCTGCTGCAACCGGTCGACTACTGGCACCACCTCTTCCCCACCTTCAACGCCGAGTTTGAGATCGCATGGGTGTACAACCTCGCCAGTGTGTCCACTCTCCTGCTCTTGCTTTGGTTCGGCGCCGCGCCATCGTACAACTGGCGCATCGTCGGAGGGTTCTCCGTTATCCTCCTGTTCATGGTGGCGCTGCCAGCGTCGCATTATGTGTTCACCACTTCCATGCAGCACCTAGTCATGGTTCTGGGTAGCACGGCCATCATCTCCGTGTCCGTCTCGACCGTCGATAGTACCGTCCTGTCCTTGGCGTCGCTGTTTCCTGTGGGGGCCATGGAGGCCACGCAGGTGGGCATGGGCTGGGCGTTGTTTGTGTCGGCTCTGTACCGCGTGGCCACAAAAGCGTTCTTCTACTCGACCGACTCTGTCGTACCCGCCACGATGTTGTACTTTGCGGTGACCGTCGCCACGGTAGCGGGTGGCCTTTTCGCGTACGTCCAACTGCATCGGTTGTCCATTACCCAGCGGTGCATCCATCAAGCGCACGCGTCGCAAGTCGTAGACTTGTCCATGTGGCCCAAGCTCTGGTTCAACGAATGCATGGTGGCGCTGTCTTTTGGCATAACGTACGTCGTGTATCCTGGCGTCCTCACGACCATCCCGAGCTACAATTTCCCCGCGTCGAACGCCAATGGGTGGTGGCCGCTCGTTCTCATGACGACATTTGCTGGATGCGAAGCGGTGGGTCGATCGTGTGTCCGATGGCGCCTTGCCACCCACGACACCATTTGGAAACTGGTGGTGCCGCGGTTGCTGCTGATCCCGTTGATCGTGTGCGCCGCCAAAGGGGTACTGACGCATGACGCCATCTCCGTGCTCAGTGTCGCGCTCGTCGGCTGGTCTAACGGCTACGTCGGAACGTTGGCTGTGGTGGTGACCAATGACTGCGTTGACGACCACGAACAGAGCGTCACGGGTATGTTTGCGAGCTTGGGCATCAACGTTGGCATCTTAGCAGGGGCCACCGTGAGTGTGATCGCCGCCCGTGTCGTGGGGTTGTAGATGCTACAGGCAGTCGACAAGGGCCAACCCCCCGTACTACCGTTATCAAAAATACATACACCGCCGCCTTCGTTGACTGATATAAGTAAACACTGGAACCAGCGCGGCAAACGGTATGCTGCACGACAGGTTCACCTGGGGATGCACGTTGCGAGTACATAAAAGTATTGTGTTTTAAGCAAAATTTGGGCTTTTGTGCTGATTCGCCAAATCTGCTTTGTCCTGACTTTTGTATGTCAAGATCGTCAAGTATCACACTAAATTCAGTCACATACTAATTCGGAGATGTATTGGTCGAAGAATGATTTTGATTGGTCACTTGATGAGTGTTCTGGGTTTTGATTGGTCGATCGATTGTCTGCCGATTTACTCCAATTTCGAATCGACAAATACTGTAATTTTTAGAGGTTACTTCTGTGTGTTGTATATTCTCTATACATTTCAATCGAGCACGCGATAACGTTACAAATTCAACCAGCTCGCCAAGGCGAGGCCAACGGTCGTCCCGACAAAGATCCCTGTGTTGATGGTCAGCGTCGCACACATGCCAGTGAACGTCCGTTCGTGGTCGTCCACGACATCGTTGACCACGACCAAGGCCAACGTGCCCACAAACCCATTCGTGAATCCCAGCGCCATGACCACTCCCAACGAAAACACATCGTATTGGGTGAACCAAAGGCTGCCTTCAGCACAGCACACGATAAGGAGCACGAGCACGACGCGAGGCACGACGAGCTTCCACACTGTCTTGTGCGTAAAGCCACATCGCCATCGAACACAGTATCGACCCAACGGCTCGCACACGGCATAACTTGTCATCAACACCAACGGCCACCATCCCGTAGCATTCCACCACCCGCTTTCGTCGTGGAAGCATGGGATCGACGTGATTACACCGGGGTATACAGAGAACGTCGTCAAGTACGTCAACGCTACCATGGCCTCGTGTGGCCAAATCTTTCGCCAGATCGAAACGTTCATGGTTTGACCCTTGGCGCGTTCGTGAAGTCGTTGCTGGGCCATCGGCAGTCGCACGAGGATCGAAAATGCCACGAGTCCCATCGCAATCGTTCCAAACGCAACACCAAAGTACACCATCGACGCCGCGACCACCATGTCCGACTCAAAGCACGCTTTGGACGCGACTCGATACAAAGCCGACACCAGCAGCGCCACGCCTAGGCCGAGTTGAACATGCTCCACGGTTTGCCCGGTACTTGAAAACAACGATGCTAGTGCAAACACGCTGCTGTCGATCGCGGCAATGGATGCACCAAGTGCCGCCGCGGAAGCCAGCACCATCACAAGATGCTGCGTTGTCGTGCTAAGTACAAAATGCGACAACGGCAGCATTGACATGAACAGGAGCAGCACCATGAAGCCCCGTCGGATGCGTTGATCTAGCACGGGTGTGCCATGCTGCAGCAAGAGAACCAGAAGGGTGCCGACGCAGGTGCCGGTGTACACCCAAGAGATTTCAAACTCGGCGTTGAACGTGGGAAACAGCAGCCGCCAGTAATCCACGGGTTGCAGCAGCGCATCCAGGGCAATGATGTACGAAAACCCGACCACTGCAAATAAGCGATTCGCTCTGGCCGTGTCAGCGGCGGTGATTGGCTGGTTGTTAGAGAAGTAGACCTTCGGGAGGCACGCGTCATGTTCGCTGCCCATGGTGGTCGTCGTTTTAATACTGGAGATCGACAAGATTCTGGACAGGATTGCGGAATCTCAACGGGTCAGCAGTAGTAGACAGCATCCGTTCCGCACATTTTTGACAAGAATCGCTGTATGGATGTGGACTGGTGCGCCGAAATTTCGGCTTTGCAGAATGGACCGTATCCACACATTCATCCGGTTAGCCACTACGGATACGATAACATCCACGAATTTGCATGTAACGTTAACAATGGAATAGCGTCACGTAGAAGTGGCCACATGCGTCACTAAGACCGCTCTCCTCCGTCAATTTGGCCTTGCCCTACAGTAGCATATCATATCATACAGAGGTCAGAGAGTCAAGAAGAGCATGGGCAAGTAGAAGCAATATAAGGGGCAGGTCCCAGTAGACTTCCCAGCAAATGACGCAGGGGACCGATGGTCACGTTTAGCATGCCATCAACGCTTGAAGTCGCTTGCATGTCGTCGAAAAACGAAAAACTTAATCGATACCACGATCTACCTTGCTTCTTCGTCGCGCTAACCACAAAGATTTTACGTTTCCACAACGATGTTGAAGAGGCAAACATGTTGAAGGGGCAACTCTAATATTATCCGGATGAAAAAAGTGCTGTACTAGTATTGTTCATGTCCATAAACAGCCAATCCAAGTCCACTGCGACAAATGATGCTCTCTGATTGGTGCGTTTTCAATCCGCCGCCATATGTCCTTTCCTGCACTACCGGTAGTTCAGCAACCTCCAACGATGTTTGACGAACGTGTAGCTGTGGCCAAGTATGGCACAGCCGCCGAGCGAGACCCGATGATCAAGAGGGGCAAGTGCTCTTCTCCGGACAAAGACTTGTCCAAGGCGTCGTTCTTGTTTATGGTACTGGGCTTTGGCTATTTGTTCCCGTACCATGCGCTGGCGCAGCCGGTGGACTACTGGCACCTCCTCTTTCCGACGTTTGACGTGGATTTTGAAATCTCATGGGCGTACAACATTGCCAGCGTCACCACTCTCTTCTTCATCGCGTGGGTCGGTGGGAAACAATGGTACACTGGCCGCATCGTCGGCGGGTTTGTGACCCAAGTGCTGGTGCTAACGATCCTTCCAGTGTCCTACTTGGTGCTCACGTCTGAGCGTGAGAACCTCGTCATGGTCTTGGGCTGCACGGTCATCGTGTCTGTCGCGACGTCGTTCTTGGACTCTTCCGTGTTTTCGATGGCCAATCTGTTTCCACCGGGGGCAGGCATCGAGTCGGTCCAGCTAGGCATGGGGTTCTCGATGGTCGTCACATCGTTCTATCGCATGACAACCAAAGCTTTCTTTCCAGCCAACGCCATTGTCGAAGCCACAATGTTGTACTTCCTCGTCGGCGCCGTCACCGTCGGCTGCGGCATCGTCGCGTACTTTGCCCTGCTCCGTCTCCCGTTGACCCGAACGAGCCTGACACGAGCAACCCAGGACGTCGTGCGCTTGTCCCTTGTGCGTAAAATCTGGCGTCAAGAACTGCTCGTTACCATCACGTACGCCAGTTCGCTGGCCGCGTGGCCCGGTGTCGTGTCGGTCATCCCCAGCTACCAGTTCCCAGCTCTCAACACGTCGGGGTGGTGGTCACTGTACTTGTTAGCGACGTACGCCGTGTGTGAGCTTGCGGGGCGCTACCTCGTTCGCTTTCGGGGTGGAGTAAACGCCAAGACGATGTATAGGCTCGTGCTTCCCCGCGTGTTGTTTGTGCCGCTGGCCATGTGCTGTGCCAAGGGGGTGTTCTCCCATGACGCCGTGTCCATCGCGGTGACCGTCGGCGCCGGGGTGACGTCCGGGTATGTGGGCACGCTGGCCATTGTCGTCGTGAATGAGATCGTCGACTTGGAAGAGCAAAGTGCCACGGGCATGCTTTCCAGCTTGTTCCTCAACGTTGGACTGATCCTTGGGTCGTCGATCGGGGTCGTGTTGGCCACTGTGTTTCACATGTAGGGATAAACGAGACGCCAATCAAGTGTTTTGAGGGTCCTGTATATACTTGTGTATATGCCGTCGTTGGAAATTGCGCCACTCAACCAACAACACGACCGAAAAGTCTACAGGGCATGTACCTTTGCATTCACTTCATATGAGGAATACACAACTCCAAGACCCAATCGGGGTTCTCTAGTAGCCCAACTCATCAACGTTTCTTTGACGATGCAGATATATATATTAGCAAAACAACTACGAGAGCTTGCTATACGCCACAAGTAGCCCGAGGCTGCGCCGCCATAGGTTACATGTTCATCCGAAAGACATGCACATCATACGCGACATTTGGCCACGCGAATGTGACAGTGCAGATGTACATGCCGTCATGAAGTTCGTGGATGGGTGGAAACTTCGGACCAGGATTGGCGAGCACATGAAGAAGGAAATTGACCCCAATCGACGGCATACGCACGTTGGTTGCCGCGGGTGGGTTTGGTAGTGGCCCCGGTTAACGCAGGTATTCCATTGTCAAAGTTGGCCAAGTGAAGCGGCGCCGCAAGGGAAACAAACGATGTTTGAGACTTCGTGCATTAACGCATTAGGGGGAGCCGACGCCGTCTCAGCATCGCTGGTGCGGAGGTCACGCTCACGGTATGGTCAGCCTCCATGTCGGTCGAACGGGGAGAAAGGGGTGTGGAGATCATCTAGAATTCGTTGAGAACATGGACGCTGGCTTGTAATTGGTTAACTGTAGCCAATCACACACCGACATATGAAATAGAACGATCTCATTGGTTCCTGTAGAAAGTGTAACCGGGAAATCGAATGCTGAAACCGCCAATCGCCAATTGAAGGTGATGGTTACAGGAATCAGATAATCGAAGGGTGCTGTTGAACCAGGCAAACTTTGTACTACTGTTTTACAGCAGTCCACCGTTGACAATATGCTACGTTTATTGGTTAAAATGTAGCCAATCCTTCACCGACATTTGAAATAGACCGATGCCATTGGTTGGTTCCTTGTGAATGACGACAATGACGTATCCGCCACATGCAAAATGCACTTTCCACGGTCGATGAGAGCCACACAAGTGAAGTAAAACCGTGCATGAATATATATATATATATATATGACGACACGAGGTATTCCGATGTTTCGTTTAACTTTATACGATATACTATATCATATCATTTCATACTATTACGCCATGCACTCTGTGGGGTAGTACTTTACTGCGGGGTGTGGATAAATTGCGACAAAATCAATCCAAACGAAGAGCCAAGGACAAGGCCAAAGTTCAGGAAGAAGCCCGTGAACGACCCTGCGATGGCTTTCTCGTCGTCGCCGACGCATTCGCTGACGAAGAGGATGGCCAGCGACCCGTGGTACCCGTTGGTGGCCCCCAGCACGAGCACAAACAGAACAGAGAGGGCGTCGTGGTTGAACGCAATACCCTGGACAGACATCACGATACACGGCACAAGAAGCATACGAAGAAGCACGGGCTTCCACACGTTGGCCTTGGTCAGTCCACACCGATACGACACCAAGAGGCGTCCAATGCAGTCTGAAATGGAAAACACCGTTAGGAGGATCAGCGGCCACCACCCCGACGCTTGCAAACTTGGAAAGTTGTGGCTTTGCATCTCCGTGACGAGCGGGGGCCACAGTGTTAATGTTGTCATGAACAAGAGCGCAACTTGCATTTGGTTGTGCACGCATTTGCCAAGCACAGCCCAGCGGTCGATGGGGGCTTTGGTTGTCGTCAAGTTCTGGCTGCTGCTGTCGTAGTCCCCCTTGTGATCCTGCTGTTTTTTGGGGGGCTGGATCAACGGCAACGACTCGTGGGTGGGGGGAGTACTGGTGGTTGTCGACAACATGAACTTGGAGATGGGTAGGCGACGCAGCATGTAGTACGCGCCAATGCACAACCCGACGGTGACCGCGCCCGTGTAAAAGTACAGCGAGCTGGACGCGATCACGGCGTCCGGCGGGAACACCACCTTGGTCACGTCCCGGTAGATGCTACCGATCAACGTGCTGAGGCCGATGCCGAATTGAAGCGACTCTTGCGCATGCAGCGGATATTTGGACGCGAGCGAGATGACGCAGCTGTCCAAGAACGCCGTGACGATGGCGGCAAACGCGGTCGCCCCCAGGATGGACCACACGTGCGCCGACTCGCCCGACACGTACTCGTACACGGCGGGTACAAACACCAGCACGGCCAGTTGGCCGGCGAACCCGCCGACGATGCGACCGGTGAACCACGGCGTCGACCCGAACGACACGATGAGCGCCAACGCTATCAAGTTGGTGTACAGGAACACGCACGTGATGGAGAACTCGATGTTGAAGTCGGGGAAGAGGAACGTCCAGTAGTCCACGGGCTGCGTGAGCGCCGAGAACGGGAAGAGGTACCCGACGCCGATCAACGCAAACAGCACGTTGAGGAGGCGGCGCTCGGCAGGCGATGACGCCACCGTCTTCGTGCGCGGGGATGCGGCTTGTATCTCGAGAGGTTCCATCGACGGTGGATGGCTGCCACAAGGTTGAAGCACCAATGGACCTCGATCGAAACGACCAATTTAGTGCTACCATATGATGGCTCGTGTATGTGGCTTTAATAGAGCGATAAACATGTTACTAGGGAGTACCATAGTTGAAGCGAACATAGAACACAATTTGGTCGTTGCTTTAGGTTGTTGATATATTATTCACAATTATATCCTTTTAGACTGGTATGATATCATTCGTTTGGTCGTCGTGCCCGCGTGTATGCTGGTCAACCGACCCACCAATTCGGACAGCAGCTATAAGTTTGTGCGAGAGTTATCACCCTATTTACCGCTCGTTGTCAAGGCCATTTCATATATGTGATATTTCTAGCACGCGCAACACTGTACTACGTAGTACTAAGCTTAGTACCCTTCTATGCTCTCTCCTATGAGGTACCGTAACATGCAAAGAAACAACCTACTAACGTTAGCAGCGTTGTGCATGCAGTGGGGGAGTTCCGACTTTCCCGCCCAGGTGGCACCGTTAGGTTTCAGTGAAAAACGAGCGTTGATTCGATGACCATCAATTTACGGCCACTTGAAGTGACGCAAAGCCTGAATATGCAATTCATTACAATTGCATGGTGCGAGTACCGGCGGCATGGGGTACCTTGCGCCATCCTGCATTCGTACGAGACACTGTTGTGACGTGAGGACTACCTATTCGCGCAATCATATAAACAATGCCCTAGTAAGATCCGACGACTGTGACATTGCATTAGGTGCCCGTTAACCGAGTTGAGGCTATAGGTTGGCATACATGGCATAAGCCGAGCTGTGGATGATGTGCGTGTTGGTTGGAGGATGGGATGGTGGCGGGGGCTGTGGAAGCGACTGCATTGGGTGCACTTCGGCCTTGTAGTGTTTGACAACGTCAGGCGCGGCTGCAGTCGGTGGCTCCTCCTTGGTCATGTCGTCCAGCGGCTCATGGCGCCTGCAAGGACACTGCGTGAAGCCGCGGCACATTGCGGTCACAAATGCGCAAAGCATGGCAACGGGGGTGAGAAGAACGCGCCACAAGTGATCTACATCATCATGGATGAGGATCCTGTAGTAGTAGATCAGCGTCAGTGAGACATACTCAGCCAGATGCACACAAGAGTGCTCTTGGCTGGATGTCCGCTGTTGCCGTGGTGATCCTTCAGAGACGTTGAAGCGGTAGGAGACTGGGGCAATTGCACTACTCGACAACCTTTGCCCTACGTTGTGATTATTTTGCGTTCGGTCAGGAGGCCGCAATGAATGGTACCTTGACGTTGTAGTGCTGGGCAATGGATTCTTTTGAGATGACTTGCTCGCACCACCAGCAGTAGATAGTTTTGCATGCGTCGCAATGTACAGCATTTGCCAACACTGCCACATGTCGTGGATTAGAATGATGCGTACAGGTACATGTATGTAGTAGACACGCACCGTCGTTGGTCAAGGCGGCTGTGCAAGATGGACAGACCTTCGTGACCATGGACTGCGCTACTTGGATTGTGTGAGTTGCTGTCGTCGCGGGTGCTGTTGTGGAACATCAGTCGCCTAACGTCACTCATGCTGCCAGCAAAACGCAACGGTTGATCGTTGGAAACTATCGAACGCATGGAAACTATCGCATTACTGCATTTTAGATGCATTTCGATTGGTGCAAAGTTCTTTCAAGGATTGGGATTGGCTATGAATAGGCATTTATTCGATACGACGTCAATTTGGTAATTTCGACATTACTCCGATCTATCATCATACTGTACCCTTGGACCGAGAGCTACCGTCGCCGTCACCCTCGCAGCATCGACACATGGCGTTCTCTCCAACGGTCATGTCTCCCCGACGAAGTGGCCAAGCGCAAAGCACGCTGCTCCCACCACTCTTGACGCGATTGATTCGGTTCACGGAAGGGGATCGTGTCAAGACGAGCTTTGGCACGGGCATCTTTCGTCACAAAATCAAGTACAACGGACACTACGCGCATCGACGATGGACTCATGTTTCGATCATGGACTGTGTAGGGGTGTCAACGGTCGTCCGGTGTACGTGGTCGACATGGATGCCGGCGGAGTGCTGCATTCTCAGGTGTGTTTTCTCTCCAGGTCATACTGTGCTGACATGCGACGGGTAGACTTGCTGGATGATGCCACGACTGCCATCGTTGACCGGCAACGAGATTCCTCCAGGGTTGCCGGTGCAGACCCCGTCGAATCGACCTGCCATCGTCGTAGGCTACAACGTACTTGACAAGGTGTACGAGGTTCAGTACGACGACGACGGCTCGCGCGAATCCCTCGAGGTGCCTGTCCCGCTCGCTCCTCCTCCTCGAACATGCACGGAAATCCATTTGTGTCTAGAGCAAATACGTCCGTCTGGCCGCGCGCACGCGCTGCCGCACCAAGTTTGGACTCGGTGTCGTCACGCAGTACAGGTACTAGTACTTTGTCCATCATGCATCGACTTGATGTCTTGTACTAGACACGATGATGGGTTTTACGTGGTGCTCTTGGACTCGAACGCGACCGCGTTCCTTAAAGTACGACATTGTATTTGGGAGTTTTCCCATATAAATCGTTGGGACGTTTCCCCATACGCGTGATGAATGTGTAGGCGTCAAGCGTGAGTGCCGTGGACTTGCGACTACTGGGAAAAATCCCCAAACCGCTCTCGGCCGATCAAATCCTCGCCGAATTCAACGGCCGTCTCACGCAACAACAAGCCGACGCGTTGGCCGCGGCCGGGGAAAATGCCTACTTGACTGTCCGCGCATACTGCGAAAAGAACGCGTCGTCCCTGTCGTCCATTGCATCTACGTTTAACTATGGCGCCGACTATACCGCGGCACTCGGGTCGTTTGTAAACCCAGAATTCCACGACGCCACAGAGAAGGTTCGCCAGGCAGGCGAGCGGGAGCTGCAGCGGCTCATGGAGCTATCCGACCTGGTTAAGACGAGGGTTGGGACCAAGTTGGCCACCAACGCCGAGCTCGTTGAAGTACGTAGTCGTACACACATGATGGAATGTATGTCGTGGTGGGATGGAATGTATGTCGTGGGGGGGGTTCGAACAGGATTCTGTACGAGTGGATTGGCATTATGTGTGTATGTGCATGTGTAGTATTTTCCGTCGATGTATATAGATATATATTATTTTTTTCTGCGATATGGATACTATATGCATGTATGTGTTCAGTATATGTAAGAATGTGTTTTCAATGGAATATATTTTTTCAGCATATATATATATAATAATATTTATTTATTTATTATACCATTCGTGCAAAGAACATGGTCGATATACCCTCATGGATCAGTTGACGTGCTAACTATGCGTATATATTATATATATCACAAGGATATGATGTGATGTGGTGATTACTAGTATGGCTGATGGAGATGTGTATGTAGCTGACAGCCCACTCCAAGAAGATTTTGAATTGCGTGGGCAGTTGCATCGAGATGAGACAAGTGGCGGAGCAACTGGCCAAGCAACTGCAAGCTGGTGCGCAGGTTGTTCGTTCCTACTTCGTTGGAGCTTGTTGGTGGCTAATATGTATGACGTGGCAGAGCGAGGACGGCGCTGCACTCATAGCGCACTTCAAGACGATGCTCCAAGCCCGCGTGGAGCAGCAGCAGCGTCGCATGCGCATGTTGAAGCCCGATCAATTCCTCAACGACCTAGAGCAAACGCTCAGTCCCCGTGGACTCAAGGTCGGTTGGCTATTTATTTATATATGATATACTATTCACGTTTCAAACAAAAAATCCGTATGAAGATATTTTAAAAAAAAATATTTGTAAATAAATTGTTCTGTAGAATTATTTTTATGTTGAATATATTGTTTGACTGTAGTCCAAGGGCAAGGCACTGATGAACGAACTGGCGACCAAGGACATGGCGCTAGCGTGCATGGACCCGCTGGAAATGTTGGAGCGCGTGGAGTCGTTTTTGCCCTGCGTGACCGAGCAAGCCACCGTGTTTATCAATGTAGATATATATATATATTCTAAATATATATATATATATGGTTGATGATTCAACTAGGAAAGCGAAGTGATGCTTGCCAAGTTCCAAGCCAGCAAACAAGGCCGGTCGATCTTGGCGAAAGCGAAAGAATTGGCACAAGTCACAGACGACAACCCGGCGCTGCTCCGGGAAAAGGTCACGGAAGCTGTCTCCAAGCTCAAAGTCAACGTACGAACGATATATTATATTTATTCAATCAGCATATATGTATTATACATCAATACATATATATATATTGTATTTTTAGGAGCTGGCCAAGTGGGGACGAACGTTGGCTGTGGATGCGGCGGCGCGGCAAGAGTTTGTGGACCAGGTGGGAGATGAACATATCAAATGCACACCATTTATATATATATTATAAGTTGTGGATATGTGCAGAGATCCAGACATATATATATTTGGTTGGTTGGATGTAGGTGAAGGACCGATGCTTGGACTTTCTCATGTCGGTGCTGCCGTCGATTGAAGTCGACCCGATCATGTAAGTAGTTGGAGATAGATATATTATAGTCATATTTATGAAAAGCGCCGTATTCGTCACGATGTGCTATATATATATATATATATTATTCTAGTGCCACAAAGATGACATCGAGTACACGATGTGCTATATATTTTTATAAATATATATATTTTTATTTATTCTAGTGGCACTAAAGACGACATCGAGTACACGTTGTCGCACTTGGATTTGTCCAAGTTTAAAGTGCGCAAGGAAAAAGTGTCGGTCAAGCTGGGCGTGGCCACGGACGACGATGTACGGACTATATATATATATATATATATTGCTCTTTTTATTACATGAGTATTATATATATACATATGTATGTATATATATATATATATAAATGTATATGCTGATGATGGTGATATATGATTGGACTAGGTCTTAACAATGAAAGCCACGCATCTCAGTGCGATCATCCCAGGATTGAATTGGACATTTGTGCAAAAGAAGTTTCCATACTTGAACGGCGGGGGGACCGCCGACGCCGAAGTGCTGGGCGGGTGCGTGTCGCTGGGGTTTCGGGTAGTTCTATGCTATAGCAATATCTCTCCAACTGGCCACGCAAGCCAACCCAAATGGCCACGAAAGTAAACCAAATGGCCACGAACATAACGATTGATTGTAGGCGGAAAAGGTGGCCATGGCGGACGGCACGTGGCAGCCGACGCTGGCAGTGTCGTCTATCGAGATTGAGATCAAGGAGGACTTGACACTCCAGATCAACGGCAGCTGGTTCTCAACCGTGTATAACGTACTCGCGTCGGTATTCAAAGACCTGATCAAGGATTACATTGCGTCGACGTTGGAAGGCAGTTTGATTGACCACGTCGTATCGCTTGTGACTGTGCTCAATGCGTTCATGAAGGAGTACTGGCCCATGCTGCTGCAGCTGCTCCATGTCACAGTCGAAGAGCTGCCTTTGGCGAGCGCATGGCGCGGGGCTAAGCCGCTTGCGCCGCCAATGCCACACGAAGAAGACTTGACGTTTACGAGCTCCAACTTGCCCATCGTGTTGGCCAAACGTACGTCTTCAAGCAAAATTGAAGTATTTGCGTGGATTTTGCTTGATTTTGCATAATTTTGACTGGATTTTGCATGATTTTGGCTGGATTTTGCATATGAATATTTGGTACATGGGATGGGTGTAGGCACGCGAGACCGCATGGCGCTGGTATCGGGTGTGACGCTGCCAAACCTCAAGACAAGCACGCTCACGGACACCCAGCGCCACGAACTGTATCGCATTCCACTGCAAGCGACGATTGTCGGCGTGAACGGGTTGTCCTGTGCCAAACTCACGTCGAAAGAGGTCGCGACGTTGCTCGAGACGTTGGCCGCGCCAGTGCAACTGCGCTTTGCCACGGCCGTGCCGGACGACAACTTTCAAGTCAAGCCGCGGCGGATGCTGCGGACATTTGACGTGTCCTTTGGCGATGGACCTCTGGGGCTGAAACTACGTGCGCGGCCCCTGGTACGAGATACTGATATGAGATACTGATATGAGATACAGTGTCGACGGCTCACCCAGGGTATTAACGAGTATGGGTGTGTCTGCTAGGCCACACATGGAGTGATTGTGGCGGGATTCATTCCAGATCGATCTGGTGGCCATGACGAGGCCGAAGCTTCGTCGAGTTTGCCCGCCATGGGACAAGGTGAAGCGAGTGGACAAATTCGACCTGGCCAGCTGCTGCTTCGCGCCAACGGGATTGACGTGCGCGCGATGGCGTTTCCTGTGGTTCGTACAGTTTGATGCGACACGGGGCTGTCGTGCAATGCAATAGTATGTTGAATGGATATACTGAAATATGCGACAATGTTGCAGGTGCTGGAGACGCTCAAAAGCTTGCCGCGACCGGCGGTGCTGACGTTTTCAACCAGTCCGGATGGCATCGTGTCGTTCAAGACGTGGCCGCCGCTGGTGGACCTGGACCTAAAGGACTCGGCCGACCCCTGTCGCAGCTACGTGGTGGTCACGGGGTTCTCGAGGCTGCCTTCGTTTGGGAAAAACTCCAAGCAGATCGCGGTAGACGACCGCGTTGTGGCTGTGAATGGCACGTCGGTCACGAGTTTGCCGTACGACAAGGTGATGGACGTGCTGCGGCATGCGATGGCGTCGCCGCCGTATCGCGTCGACTTTAGTCGGGGCGGCGGTGTGGCAACGACCACGGTCACGTTTCCCAAAGGTCCCATGGGCATCTTGTTCCGCAGCGACAAGGTGACGAGTAGTAGTACAGTAGTGTCGTGGGGGACGACTGACCAGAGGCTGTGTGACATCGTAGGACCATGGCGTGTACGTCAAGAAGTTTGTGGCTGGCCTGGGCCCGGCCGAGCGGAGTGGACTCGTGTACCGCGGGTGTGCCATCCTCCAAGTATGTGGGAAGAACGTGGATGGGTTGGATGTGGAAGGGGTGCAGAGCATGATTGACCACGCACAGCCACCATATCACCTTACGGTCCGCGACATGGACATGGAAAACACGCTGTCACTGCTTTACAGTTAAATTGGTTACGCGACTAACATTGCATTGTTTGGATACATAACACGTTACTACACTGTACAAGGTGTGATGAGATCCACCGTAATTTCAGTATTCCTTGGCACTATGTTTTCCAAATTGCCGAAATGTGAAGAATCAGGGTTGGAATGACAGTGGTATAATACAAGTTGCATGCTGATTTAAACCACAACTAGATTATGCATACTAAGCCTTTTAATAAAGTTGCATATTTAATGCTAGTTTGATATGTACGTTGAAGGTGATATTTTGCAACTTTGCCAGCACATCATTTCTGCAATACTGGTGCTGGAATGCTAGTACACCGTTACTGTACTAGGTAGTACCATATTGAAGGCAATGCTACTTTCGTCGAGTTTTTCTGGCAAACACTGTGTACTGTATACTAGTAAGTGGTTCAGGAAGCAGTTTATTACTGGTAAAGTTAACGGTATACTACTCTGCAATCAACCGCAGTCCTCCTAGTGTTGAGTGGAGAGCAATCATGTCCTGTGCATGATGGTTACATATATATGAGCTGTAGTCGTGGTGCGTTGCACGGTGGTGTTCGTTCACGTAAAGTCTGTCCAATCTCAGAGATGTACTTTACAGACTGTTAGCCCGTATCGCCGGTGGCAGCGAGTTCGTAGAACTTGCTTTCTCGTCAATACATTTATTTTTATTTGATATATTTAGGGTTTTGTATTGGACGACCTGCGATAGGTTTTTAATTACATGAAGCCAAGGTGACATATTTTCCATGCCAGGTAGCCTACGCCAGTCTTATGGCAACTGAATACTACTAGTATGTGGACGTCCAGCTCATTCTGGAACTTGACATCGACTTCACACAACAGCAGCAGCAGCATGGTTGTCCGTAGAAGCGTCTCCATCATCATGGCCGCTGCAACGACAGTGTCCGCGGTGGAATTCCGATTCACCAACAAGTGCGAGTACACCATCAACCTGCACGGCAGTGGCAGCAAGTTCATTTGCGACATCGCTCCAGGGGCCAAAGCCGACAACAATGGCGGGGCGCCCTTGGGCACCATAGGGCTCTTCAAGCACTCTCCGTCGAACGAAGCCAACTGTACGTGGACATGTCATGCATTAAGGGGTCAAATGATCTTATACTTTGTGGCTAGTGCTCGAGTACTCGCTCATCAACTCTGGGTATGGACTCAATCAAGTATGGTACGATGTCAGCAACATCCCACCCGGCCCTGGCTGGTGCTCGAGCTACGAAGACTGCAAAGCATTCACTGGTCGGAAGGGCTACAACGTGCCCATGCTGGTCATCCCCACCAAGTTCAAAGGCAAAGCCAACTGCAAACAGCTCTACGTCACACGGCCAGATGCTCCCGATGCGTACTTGTTCCCCGCCGACAACACCAAAACGCACGACTGTGCCATGGACGAAGTGTTTGACGTGATCTTCTGTCCAGACAACAACGCGCCAGCTCCCACGACCGCCGCCGCTCCTGTCGTTACGACGAAAGCGCCGTCGCCGCCAGTCACAACGAAAGCTCCGTCGCCGCCAGTCACGACGGTGACCCCACCGACCACCTCAACTTATTCGCCTCCACCAGTGACCCCGTCACCGCCCACACCTTCGTCCCCACCTCTACCTAAAGCGCCATCGTCGACCACTGATGTCCCTGCCACTACTTCGACTTCCTCGCCAGCTACACCAGCCTCCCCCACGGTAGTGCCTACCTCTGTCTCACCCGTGGCTACAACTTCTCGAGTGTCGTCCCCACCTAAAAACGACGATGGCTACATCAAGCCATGGTTCCAGTGCGGCGGCAAGGGCTACAGTGGAAGCTCGCTCTGTGGCACTGGCCATTCCTGTGTGGCCATCAGCGACTGGTACTCGCAGTGCATTCCGGACGCCCCGCAGTTTGGTGAGCTCGCAACATGGGCCCAATGTGGAGGCACCGGTTTCCAAGGGAAGGCGGCGTGCCTCCCCCGCGACACGTGCGTCAAGCGCAACGATTACTTTTACCAATGCGAGCCCAAAGACCACCACAACTGACGAGGCAAACGTCCTATCATTAACGTTAACCTTAACGTAGATTTCCAATTTAAGAGCATCTCCACCGCATCCCCATATGTTTTTGTCCCCATCCCTAAAATAGAGCCAGTTCACTGTTTTTGGGATGTCTGCAAAAAATCTTCCGTTTAGGTAGCTGTCCCCTTCCCAGTTGACCTCAAGCTGGAAGTGCATAGTATGACATCGAGAGGCTGCCAAGTTCACTCTGGAACAGAGTTATGAACGGTGTTTGCCTCTCTCTAGTGGTAGTTAGCTTTTCAGAGATTACGACTGGATGGCATGTCGATGGTGACCATCGCCTTGCTATTGAGTTTCCCAAGGTCGGTAATGCCGGTTCTTGCAAGCCTACTTGACCGCAGCGATTATGTAATCCCACCACGCACCAAGTTATAGAGTGTAATTGTTGCTGCGGACTCTTGTCCGTGATGCGCGACCGCATAGCTTTATGCGGTTGCGCCTCTTGGACAAACCCGCGTCCGCCGCAGCGTGGGAACGAGAGTCACCGGCAATCACTGCCGCAGCGATATTGGCCAGATATCGCTGTATCAATGAATGCTGGTGACTCGTTCAGCCACATCGTTCGCGTGCCCGACGACGGCGAGACGTGGTCCACGACATTCGGAAACTGCACGAATGGACTTGCTTCTTCCATACATATTGTAGTATATTTATTGGGACAATTAGTTGGGATATCCCAATAGTGTGCAATTTTCGGGACAAAGTGGATGTCCCAACCCCAAATTTGGTTTTCGGGGCATCCGGTGGGGAAGATTTTGTCCCATCTGATGTCCCATTATCGAGTTGGGACATATTTATGCGGTGGAGATGCTCTAAGAGACATATCTTGGAGTCGCTGCCGGGAAATGAAAGCAGCTCGGCTCTGAGGAATGGGTTTCGACTTCTGAAAACTGATAATTGAACAGGAAACGCAGGTCTTTCCAACAAGCACTGAAACATCTATTTTCACAGTATCTATCATGTCCTAATGTCTCATTTTCTAAGCAGAAACACCTCAAAAATAAAGGACAATTTAAGGGACATATTTTAAGCTTGATCGTGGTATTGATCCATGCATATATTTTTTGTGGTTAGGGTATGATATTCTGTCAGGTACATATGCAGCCTCAACAGGTTATGTATTTATAGAGCCAATTTGTTAATTGATTTATATAAAACACATGGGATCATGAAGAACATTTATTTAAAGAGGTATTTCTACTCAAATTTCAAGGTGGGTGATTGGCTGAATCCGATGTCCCTTAAATTGTCCCATGTCTCTTAAATTGGAAATCTACGTTAAAAGAGTAATCCAAAACATGTCTTCCACGCTTTGATTCAAAATTATACCATACAGTAGTATTATATTAACCATAGTATCCAAGGTTGGTATTAATATTAAATGCTGTCCCGTAACATAAGTCTGCACAGTAAGACTTATTCGTATTTCACCCAAATTTGAACTTGAGTGTGCCATTTTTCACAATCTATGGTGCACGTTAGGTGGCCGCTGAGATGAATCTTGATTTTTGTATGTGACTTATATCCGTATATAATATCCGGAGGCAGTTGGGACCTTTAACCTCCCACTGCAGTGATAAAACGCATGAAATCGGTATTTAACGTATTTTGGTTGTGGGTTTAACTACATTAATTGTACGTTAAATAATAAAACCTCTACTCTTCGATTTGGCCAGTTGGAAGTTTTTAGATGCGATATCGTTCTCTTTCCGCTCAGCCGAAAAAACCTCTATGATCAAATTCCGGAACGACAAAACCTGTCTACAATTGATGCATATGTCCGCAAAAAAATATTCATAATGAATGATATCGTTCTCTAATGTAATGAAGAAATTCTACGTCTCAGATTCAAATTTGGAGATGAATTGGTCCAGAAATAGATATTTAACCTAGCGGTATTTTACATGGGCGCTTGGATATTTGGCCACGTGCTCGACAATCACAAAAATGAGTGTTGAGCACGACACCAAGACGAAGAAATGGTCGGGTATGTGAGGCGGCGCAGCAGAATACACAAGGCCTCTACAGCATGACAACGGTCTCGGCTTGGCGTGACCACAACGCCTGGTAAGCGGAGCAGCACTGGTGCAGAGGCTAGGTGCAGCTACAGGCGGTTCATCACAGAGCTTGTTCGACGGACAGAGAGCTGTTGCGTAACGTGTCCAGGCGAAATCGAACGTCCGGGATAACAAGACGTTGTAACAGCTTCCACGGTAGTATGAACAACAGTCGACGCTGCCATTGACGTGACTTTGTTTTAAGTACAGTAGCCTCCGCACGACTGACACCACCAGTGCTGTCTCGTTCATTTGGACGTGTCCATGCTAATCCTTTATCCGGATAATTTATTCGTATATTTTGATAGAAATATGCTGTTGCGAAATCATAAAATATCTGTCGTTGCCGCTGCCGTTGTCGTTGCGTGAGCTGAACGCGAACAAATAACCCACGATTGCGAAATCTCCTTATTGACAGTGAGATCTGTCGATTCAACGTCTCAATTTGCTGAAATTTTGAGTAATGAATATGAAATAGAAGTCAGAAATTTTTGTGAAAAGTTGGTAGTTTAGATGACGTGCACCATAGTTGATCCAATTTAAGCCGGAGAACTAGGGAGAGTCAATACCACAACGTGACATGCATGACACAATAACAAGCGATGATGATTCTTTGAGTAACTTTCGTAATAACGAGCGGTACCGGTAGCAGTGGACATACGAGGATTTCATTGTACGTAGTACTTACTAATTGTGCTTTGCACCTTTTTTGGCAATTCCAGGGTTAAATTCATTGTTTAAAAATTTCTCAGGCTTAAATAATGTTTAAAAATTTCTCAAGCTTAAATAATGTCTAAAGTAACTTGAATAACGGGTGGGTGCGTTGTACAAGTTACTTCATCTAATGTAAAGTTACTTCATCTAATGCGATGATTGGTTGGTTGAAGTTGGTTTTACTAGGACTTTCGTAAAACAAGTTGTTTGCCGTTTTCATTCTGGCAAACAACTTGCTTTACGTCAACATGTCAAGGTGCTTGACGAGCTATGGCCACATACATGACCTCCCATCCGTCACTACAGTACTAACATTATCTACTCCGAGTAATGTATATAACGTTAGGGATATAGTTAGGCTACAGTACATGTAAGTAGTCGTCGATCTGTCCAATGATTCAACGCTATGCCATACCTTCAACTCTTGATCTGCTCTAACCTTAGCACTGTACGTGGAAGGCAAGGGCGCACTACGACTACACGATGTACAGTACTCCCATTTCACATCCTACAGTGCTGGCCATAAGTGAAAGGTACAACACTTTTTTGCTCGAACATTTTGACTGGTACCTCAAACCTCAATAGCATTTGTAGCAGGTGAATAGCAATGAAAAGACGAATGTTTTGGCACCAAATGACCATAGTAGCTCGGCATCAAAGCAGAAAAATCTGTAAAATAGTAAAATGAGTACAATTATTTCTGGCCATAAGTGAAAGGTACAAATGTTATAAGCGAACTAAAACACCGAAAAATAATGCGATGTTAATCGTTTTACACACTAATACTTCGTACACGACCCCTTGCCTTGCAGAACATCGATACAGCGCGATTTCATGGATG